CTATCTATACACACCCTACACACATCTATACACACCACACACATCTATACATACCACACACACCACACACATCTATACACACCCTATACACCACAAACACCACATATATCTACACACACCACACACATCTGTACACACCCTACACACCACACACATCTATACACACCACACACACCACACACATCTATCTGTACACACCCTACACACATCTATACACACCACACACATCTGTACATACCACACACACCACACACATCTATACACACCCTACACACCACACACATCTATACACACCCTATACACCACACACACCACATATATCTACACACACCACACACATCTATCTATACACACCCTACACACCACACACATCTATACACACCACACACACCACACACATCTATACACACCCTACACACCACACACATCTATACACACCCTACCACCACACACACCACATACATCTATACACACCACACACACCACATATATCTACACACACCACACACATCTGTACACACCACACACACCACATATATCTACACACACCACACACATCTGTACACACCACACACACCACATATATCTACACACACCACACACATCTATACACAGCCTACACACCACACACATCTATACACACCACAGACACCACACACAATCTATACACACCACACACACCACACACATCTATACACACCCTACAACCACACACATCTCTACACACCCTACACACCACACACATCTCTACACACCCTACCACCACACACACCACACACATCTATACACACCACACACACCACACACATCTCTACACACCCTACCACCACACACACCACACACATCTATACACACCACATATATCTACACACACCACACACATCTATGCACACCACACACATCTATACACACCACACACACCACACACATCTATACATACCCTACATACCACACACACCACATATATCTACACACACTATGCACTCCACACACACCACACATAGTACATACACCACACAGCCGTACACATCCACACCACCATATACACCATGCCACATCCACACCACACATCACATATACATACACACCACACAATATACACCCACACACCGTACACACCACGCACGTGCACACTCACGCACACACCCCCACCTGCCCAGACCTGTACACACAGCACACAGCACAGATGCACACCACATCACCCTCTTATGTTGCAGAATTAAAACACAGTAATGACAGTTGTACAAACCCCTACTTTGGCTTTCGAGACAATTCTCAGAAAATCACCTCAGTGCAAGCCTACACTCAGGTGGGCAAGGCTGTCTCTGTCCTGGCTCCAGAAGCCCCCCTGGCCTTGCCCTCCTGATCCCCCAACCTGAGGTTTCCCTTTGGGGATTGAACTTCCCCTGGCTTCTCTCTCCCTTCCCACCCACAGCCCCAGAGTTAGAGAGTGTGGGGGGGGCGGTCTAGCTCTGGGATGCATCTGCACTGGGCCTGGGCTGGAAGGAAGTGGACCCTGGTGACCGTCCAGTACCCTGTTCAGCCTGGGAAGGCCTACCCTGGTGTCCACCCTCTGCAGCTTAGGCCTCTACCCTGTGGCCTCCAGGAACTGAGATCAGGAAATGTCAGGCTTTCGGAGGAAACTCACATGCCCTGCCCCCACGCCTCAGAGGCCAAAGTGGCACCACTGATAGGTACTTGGTTGGAACCCCGCTGTGCTGCCTGCCCTCTGTCTTCCCACTAAGTTTTGAAAAACGTACTGGGTAACGCTGTCATGACCCAGCCAGGACAGGCAGCCCGTGCTTCGTGTTTGACCTCATGTGGAGGAGGTGGCGCTTCTGCCACCTGGGGCACCTGCTCCCTGGGCTCGGCCCCTCCCCGAGCCGCTACCGCGCAGTATAAACTGCGTGTTTGTGTCTAGCAGCTAATTGTGCTGGGAAATATCCTGCAGCGTTAATAGACAGAAAACAAGCGACACTCGCCACAGAACTTGGGTAGCCCCCCCCCCCC